AAACCTACTTATCAAATAAAATAATAATAATAAAAAAAACATGACTCTTAAGGTGCATGGTTGAATTGTAAATTTGAGAGCTTGTGAAATGGTACGACTAATATTTTCTCCATGAGCCTGAGATTTTCTTACCCTTGCAAGAGAAAAGCAGAACAAAAACATATGAAACGATGAAACCTGTGAAATTTTGCTTAAATTCTGTGACAATGTGTATTTCAAAAGTCCAATCACTGCCTCTCTTTTTGTCTCATCCATGCTTGGATCCATATACATTAAATATTATCAAAACCTTCCTATATGACCATTTCTCTACAATGGCCAGTTAATAGACAAATTTCGATATACTAATATACAGCCTAAAACAATGGACCTCAGCACAAGGCTCTGGGGAATAACTATGGAGTTTGTGGGGTTTATTCCCCGGAGTTTCATGCTGAGGTCTATTGTTTTAGGCTGAATTTTAATACAGTAAAACCCGCATTCAAGAACCTAGTGGTTTAAGAACCTGCTGGCAGAAATTTGCCATTTTGATAGCCAGAAATATAAGAACCTGTTTAGCCAAGCAAGATCAAGCAGGTTTTAATATGTGGGTTACAGCTTATGATAAACATTTTAACCAAGGAGTGTGACTTTGAGATTGCAAATTTATATTACCAGAAAATACATTATACAGTTCTGAATAAATACTGTCTATTAGAGGACCAAATCTAAGTTTACATGTATGTATTTTTCTGGTAATCAACAACTATATCTCTGCCTATCTTGCCAGACTTCAAAAAATTTATTTATTTATTTTTTTAATGTAAATATAGATGTGGGCCGCCTAGATTAGCCCAGGCTACCTGCGGGTTTGCACTGTTGCTATTATCAAGCATTTTTAACTTAATCTGTATATCTATTTCTGTAAAAATTGTAAATATGTGAGTCATAGTAATAATAAAGTTGGTGTTGTTGTTGTAGGTTCTTACACTGGCCTTTGTAAAGAGGTTAAAATGTTTAATGTTTCAAGTAGATTTAGTCTCCTTCACAGTTGTTATTTGGGTCACACAACACTTTTCCTCACTAACTGCTGGTTAAGTCCAAACTGCATTCCTTTTCTTTTCTTTTGACTGCAACCACTTTGACAACTATAGGTAAAAAAGTGACAAATGCTGTTTGCCTAAATGTTGCAAGATCACTTACACTGTTCTTGAACTTGGTTGCCTGTTAGTACTGACTTATAGTATTGTTTTTCAATGTTAGTCTTCCAACGGATGTGTTTTCTTTGGGTAAAACTGTGTTTTATTTGATGTCTGATGAAGGGGTTTCATTAAGGGCTAGGCAACGGGCAAATTGACTGGCTGTGAGGTTGATTTTGCCTGCCTGGTTTGACCATCTAGAGGAAAGTTTTCTTATAAAGAACTTCACTTCAAAAACTTTTGCGCAGTTGTGAAAACCAGTTGCCCTCCTGTTGAAAACATTAATGAAACCCCAGCTGGTGTGCATCCAGTTCTAAAGGCATGGCTAAGCTGTCATTGGCTAAAAGGCGTAAAAGAAAGTACAGTAGTTCATGTTTAAGTAGTCTTTAGTGGGTAGAAGTGTTGTGTGATGACCTAAATAATGGCTGCAAAGGAAGCTACAGTAGATGTTGCAGTGAACCATTTGACATATTACTACATTTGAACCCTATTAAGTGGCCACCCTTGGGGAAATAGGAGGTGGCCGCTTAATAGGGGTTGGCCACTTAATAGAGGTTATTTTCTTAGTGAACATGGAGTTACTTAAAGACTACCATGATAAACTTGTGTTTGAATGTTTTAATCACTCGTCACCTTCTATTTCGGACTCTTACATGTATCTTCCATCACCTTTTCCAAAACAGAGGTAATTTATGTGTATTAAACTTTAGGTGGCCATTTAAAAGGGGTTAAGACAATAAAAAAAACCCCATCGGGATGACCAAAAGGTGGCCACAGCTGCTTAATTAGAGTTGGCTGGTTAATAGGGGTTTTATTTACAGTATTTCACTGACAATAATTTTGTGACTTTGATAACTGGCTGCTCATTGTGGGGTAGCCGCTTAATAGGTGGCCTCTTAATAGAGGTGCAACTGTAGTGTATAGGTGTTCAATTTGCAGATTGAAATATTTTTGCTGTGTTGGATGAACAGTTTGAAGAAAATGAACAACTTTTGTCATATGGCAGGCTCCACTTTTAAGTTCACAACAGTATGGTGCAAGCTAACCCTCCCTGCTGTCTGTTTGGCATTGTGTCATGCATATTTCTGACACATGCAAAAACTGCGCAGAATAACCACTGAAGCAAAACTTTTTAAAATGTGCAAAAGATAATATTTTTTTTCCAGAACAAGAACATGACTTGGTGGCACTGATTCCTGTAAGAGACAGTCGACTTCGACCAAGGAGAACGTAAGTCACTGGCCTCAATAATAAGACACAATGTGTGCTGATAATTATCCATTATTTATTCCATGCCATAGAAAATACAGCAAATCAGAATACAGGGAAGTTGTGATACACGGACACTAAACGTCGTTACACCCAACCTTCCCATCATGTGCTGCGCCTATGTGATTGTGTTTGCATGACTATATCTTCTCTGGGTTGGCATTAAATAGTTATGTAATCCTTTTAAGTGGTATAACATGGAATGTCTCACTTGCCGCTTGTACTTTCTTGGTATACACATGCCTAAAGGTTTGTGTGTATACAGAGAAAATACAAGTGACTCATGAAATATTCCATGGTATACCGCTCAAAAGTGTTGCATAACTAGTAATTATAACATGCAATATAGAAAATAAAGCCAATCAGAACACAGGAAAATTGTTGTATGCTCAACAACAAACTTGGCATGAATGATAAAATCCAGTTAAAATCCTGTTGATTAGTAGATGCTGGGTTTGTGTAATAGCTAGACAAGTCACAAATATCTTGTTTGTTTACCTTTCAGGGTGCTGTATCTTTTAGTGGCTGTGTTTCTTTGTTTGACAGTCTGCACAGTTGTTGCCGTCATTTTCTTCCCCAGAAGTATATCAATCAAATTAGTCAGTGCGTCTCCTAAAAATATCAGTATTCCAAAGGCAAATGAGACTGATCCTTTCATCATTATAAATGTAAGTATTTTACATACTGTGATACAGTGCAACTCCTCCTTTGTTAGTGTCAAATTTCAGTGAAGAGTGGTCCACTGCATTTTGGGTTGGAAATAGCCTGAAATGTCAGTCTAACTCCCTGGTGCAGCATCTCTCGCCCGGTTAGGCTGAGGGCGGGAGAAAACTGACATTTCAGACTACAGGTTGGAAAATAGTTTTCCCTTGCCTAGTAAACTCCCGGGGGGAGGAGGTCCCATATAAAAAGTCGGAAATTTTGAACAGAACCCCTAAGAGGTACCTGTTTTGTGGGTGTGGCTTGAAATGTTTTTCACCCCTAGGAGGTACATGTACCAATTCAAATAGTCAGGGGAAAAAATTCCTCAAGGTCACGGAAAAGTCAGGGAATTTTATTCTGAGTCAGGAAAAATTGACATTTTGAAGAAACGTCAGGGAAAATTGAAACAATTTAATACGGCTGATTTAATACCGTTGGAGGCTGGAAGAAACATTCGTAGTCACTTTGATGTCAAGGAAAATTTGTTGTAAACTTATCAGTCTTAATGAACAAGTGGAAAGGACGGCTCTACGTTGAGGCCATAAGCCGCTACTAGATCTGACTTTTTGTCGGTATTTATTTGGTTTGGGAAATTTGATTTTTATCAGGCGTGGCTTGAAACTTTTTTTTCCTCTAAGAGGTACCAATTGTTACATGACACATTATCTCCTGTCATATTTTTTGAGCTAAAAAGGTATCGCAAAAGCTCCCGCAATCAAAGCTGCAAAAGGCCTTATTTTGAGCATGACCAGGATGGAAAATCGACGAGCTTGCTGCGCAAAAACCCAACAAAAAATATTATTATTCCTAACTTCAATGTTCCTTACAAGGTTAGAAACGTATCTTACTTTCGATGCTCGTGAAAATTACATGTATCTCTTACATGTAACACCCGAAAGATCACTTCCTGAAAATTGGCGAAAGTACCCTGTCTTCGCCGGCGTTTATTTGTCAAGTCCATACCGGGCCGCCCTAAACTCCAAACCCAGCTAAACAGAGGATAGAAAGCACAGAAATATAAAAATACCTTGCGCTCCTAGGTCCCGATCACACTAACGCGTTTTTAAAAGTGTCGGTTTTTGCAGTGTCTCATGCGTTTTCGTTTTGTTTTCACCTGTCCACTCTAATTCGTTTTATTCGAAAACTTATGATTCTTGATGCGTTTTCGCCTATCGTCCACGCCAAAACGTCCGAAAACGCTGATGGAAATGACAGTATATAGCGCTTTTTTCTGGCATCGTTTTCAAAATCCTCCGTTTTCTCCTGTCCACACGAGAAACGGTGCGTTTTCAAAAGGCTCTACTTTCGAAACCGTTTCCGAAAGCCTCCGTTTTCATCAGCGTTTTCGGGTGTCTTAGCGTGGATGATAGGCGAAAACGCATCAAAAGGTATGCGTTTTTATACGAAAACGCATTAGTTAGGTCGAGGTCTTAATCTTCTTTTACAGTTCGGTATTACTTATATCAGTATTTTCCTCCTTTGTATAACGAACTGCTAGATCAATGCATTGGGTGTGTTGGTAAATAGGCTTTCAACGTTAAATGAAACCATAAAATTACCAGATGTAGTGGTATATCCTGAATGCAATGTGAAGGATCCTGTACGTCTCGACTCCGTTTGCGTGATGTCTACAAATTGCCTTGTGTAGGATGTAATGCCTGTTACATCGGAGAAACCAGCCGACATCTTTCAACCTGCATTCGTGAACATCTGAGTTGCGAGCTCGTCAAGTTCGGCAATTTCGGCAATTTTTCATCCTGGTCATGCTCCAAATTAGGATTTTTCCATCTTTGATTGTATCAAGCTCTAAAAAGTATGCTGACGTACTTCCAAAAAAACAAAAACAAAAAAAAAGAAAAAAAAAAGAAAGAAAGAAACTAATGACTAATTAATGACCCAACACACAGAGGACAGAGTTTGAGGGAAAACTCCCGAAATGCAGTGGACCGCTTTTAGACCTTTTACACTCGTAATGTTGATTTGGCCTTTGGTGTCATCAACTATAGGCTCGATTTACCAGTCGCTGTTCTGGAAAGGAGCCCGCGCTCGAGAGAGCAGCGGAAATCGAGCCTACATCAACAATCAACCGCACACGTTTTGTAAGTAATATCGACAATAACGTTGTAAGCCTGTGATGAAGTTATCTTTTCCTTTACGTCTCTCAACAGTGTACGACTTTGATCAAGAATGACAACTTTTTTGAGGCACATTTGGATAACATGACCGTACAAGTGAACTGGAACAACTACGTGGTAGCTGACCCAGACATGCCGGGAACTATCAAAGTTCCGGCACGCTCAAGTCTTAATGTATGTTAATAAACAAGGGAGAGTTTATCTGTTTTTATAGCGCGACTACTCGATCTGGACGACCTAGAAGAAAACTAACCAATCAAAACGTAAACAGAGAACAATGGACTAGTAGCTTCTGGCGACGGCAAATAACGGTCTGTTTGAAGTGAAAACATATTAAAACATTATCGACTCTTCTGCGTTATATACACTCTTAGATATTCAGTCCTTGGCGGCGAATTATCATAATTGTAAGTCTCGCTCGAAAAATTTAGCTTGAAAACTCATTTTGCAACAACTAAACGGACAAAAAGAAAACGAAACCGTTAAAAAGCGTACAAAATTTAAGATCGAATCTCACCAGTCAACAAATGGCAAAGTTTCCTGAGAAGTTCACAGCACCTCGCGTTTTGTTGGGTTTTCAATTTTGTTGAAATCTATTGTTCGTATTCTTCAATGTTATTGGTTTATTTAAGAAATAGATCGCTATCCTTTGTTCTGAAGTGACGTTCTGATTCTTTATATAATTCTTTTCCAAGTGGCCCGGTTCGAGTAGTCGCACTGTAAACTTGTATAAGTATTTGTTATTTAACTCTACTCAGAAATATATTATGAATCGGGGCTGTCAGTTAAGGCCATACGCCATCACAGCTGTGGCCAATCACAAATGACACAGACATTCCAGTGAACCAATCAAAATTCAAAGCAAATAAATGGAGACCTCAGCGCAGGAAAACATGCGTGAGCGGGAACAATTTCCGGTTTTCTCGTGACGTAATCATATTCCAAAATCAAAAAAAAATAACTTTCCTTCTGAGTTTTTTAGTTCCATTGGATATAAGAACATGACGTTTAACAACGTTTAAGCTTGACAGGGTTCTTCGTTTTGTAATAGAAAACGTTTGAATTTCCAAGGTTTTGAAGAAGTAATAGTTCAATGCGTCAGAGCTCAAGAGTAATAACTTTTCGTTTCAATAGCAAAACTCGATGACTGATATTTCTGTTACTTTACGGCCGCTGTATTGGCGCTAAATCTTTGCGAGGTTGTTTATATATCAATCATCTATCATTTCCCAGATTATTGCATTTATTAATTGAATGGTTACGATTTTTATGAGTGAGAATGAGAAGTTCCTCCGTGAGGCCGCGCTTCTCCAGTGTCCATAGGGAACATACTGAATGTTCCCTTAGTCGGTGGGTTTCACCCTAGAAACTCTGATTAACCATTTGTTTA